TTAGCCTCTAAACAACAAAAAGTCTAAGCCACTATTCATTTCCTTCAAATACTTGTCCTTCCACTTCCTCTATGCCAAGCTGTTTTCTGTGGCCAAACAACTGCTCCCTCTCTGACCACTGTGACTTCAGGGCATGACTCAGTGACCAGAAAGTCAGTACCTGGCCCCCTTCTTCTACACAGTCCCATGCTTTCCAGTCTGCAGGCAGCACCTCCACTCAAAGCCATCAGTGCCTCCTGGGCTCCAGGCAAATGCCCCTTTCCTGTGCTCAGAAGCTGTGCTCCTGCAACACCTTGTTGGCAAATTAGGGTGACACGCCTCCTAACACAGTGACAGGCTGACTATGGGCACAGTGACTGACTGACGAGGAATCCCCTAGGGGCTCTGCATGGCATGTGTGCCTTTCTGTTCCCTGCTGTCCGACGACAGCCTGGCGTGGGAGTGTTCAACAGGGAGTGTGTCATCAAAGCAAGGGGATGACATGCAAGGACACAGGCTGCCGACTCCAGAAAACAAATCTGGAAAACTGGTCCTGGTCCTATCTGACGTGCGTGAACATCAGCCCGCACCAGGGCCAGAGGGGAGAGCCTCTGGAGGTGGGGGGTGGGGGGATCCTGGGGACTCGGGAGAGAATTGGGACAATGTGTTGCATAGGGACGAGAGCAAACAGTTTATTGAACAGCAGGGCTGCATTCTGAGACCAGTTTGCAAAAAAGGGACAGTTTCCAAATCTGTTCCGGGAATGGGGAGATAATACAGGAGTTAGGATGCACCTTGCCTGAGCTAGCCCCACAAAGCCCCCTATGCTCTGCTTAGGATATCCCTGGAGGTCCTTAAGCATCGCTACGGTCACCCTGAGCTCAGTCAAACAGGAGCCATGGGGACAGGCCCCCGGCCTCTCCTATATATATGTGTGGTATGTAATTTTCCCAGATGTTTGCTGAAGTACAGATACCTTAATCTCTTAGAGGAATTTTCAAAAGTGCTGACCTGCCTGACCCGAGCACTGAGACACCAAGTATTGTTACTGGGGAGGGGCCCACAGACCCTACCCCGCTGGAAAAGTAAAGGGGGGAGGTTAGAGTTAAAACCTGCCAAAGTAAGACCCTTGTGAAGAGCCGCACGTGCTCTGAGACTACCGTGGAGCAGGATCCTGCTCAGCTTCCTCGCTGGCAACAGGCCCACGGTGGGCTCGGCAGGCCAACTTCGCCAACACAGTGACACAATCCAGTAACCCCCAAAGAGCCACAGATGTGACACTATCCAGAGGAACACCGCAACCTCATTAGGAAGAGGATAAAAAGAGAAAAGGTCTCTCAAATGAATTTATTTGTACTCTGTTGCATCCAAGAAAATCGCTCTGTTTGTGCCCTCAAAAGTTCTTCTGAAAATGTCACCACTCAGAAAAAGACTAATTAAAAATCTTAGAAAGTTTGCATAGGGGCTCCACCCAGCGATAATTTGGGATGAAGGGGGGCCTGGGGCTGGTCCACTAGGGCCACCCAGCATGCACCAAGTGGTATCCAGAAGGCCCACAATGTTCAGGCTCAGAACCTGGAACATTTGAGACCTTTGTGCTACCCTGTGAGCCACCTACTTCCCTGGCCTCAAGGAACATCTTAATACAATGTAATATTTAAGTACAGTTGCTAAGGAAACGGTTCATTCTCTCAGAGGACCTAAAATGTTATTCTAACACAGATATAAAACAAAAGTGAAAGACAAATCTTGCAGGTAATCTGTTATTACTAATCTAAAAAAGAATGGTCACATCTGATGAAATATTCCTGAGAAGAAAGTCAATATCTCCTCAAAAGAAAGGACGTAAATTGAAACATCTTAGACCTTCCAAAATAAGCCATACTTCCTATGATCAACCTCCTGGAAAGCTAATTATCTGGGCCAATTACTAATGTTTCACGTAACCTTTGTGGATGAGATTTCTTTCCAAATGGCATGAAAATGAAGTGGTAGAAGTACAGGAACTTACTGAATAACATGGGACTGTTATTGTTATTGCTTATGTGTGGGTTTCCAAGTGATTAAAAAAAAAGGAAAAAAACAAAAAATACTTCTGAGAAGTGATGTGGGAGATGGAGAATTTAAACACAAAAGCCAGGCAAAAGCCAATGCTTCCAGACCATTCCTGGGTATCTCAGCTCCTGATTCTCTCTGCATTTGCCTGCGTCTCTCGGCAGTACCAACTGTCTCCTCAGTGAAGACCACCTTAAAATAGACAAGGCAGCATGGGTGTGTTTGCTTCACATGGTTCTAAATGTCTTTCTGTGCGAAGATTCATTTTAATCTTTGCAAATCTACTATAAGCACAAAAACATGAGCTAAACTATTGGTCAGAGGAAAGTGGGATGTCCTGTCTCTTTCCAGAGATGTCTGCTCTCCAGGGCGGGGCAGCAGGCTAGCAAGGAAGGTGCTGGCCTTGCATGCGGCAGACCCAGGTTCAATCCTGGCATCCTGGATGGTCCCCTGAGCACTGCCAGGAATAATTCCTTAGCACAGACCCAAAAGGAAACCCTTGAGCATCATAGGGTTGGCCAAAAAAAAAGAACAGAAATTAAAAATGTTTGTTTTCTCAAGATGTGCCCTCTTCTCCATCTTAGCATTCAAATACCGATTTTGCTACCAGAAATTATGTTCCAGAATGTTTGCTTTAGAAGGCTAAACTAAGATAGGAAATAAGTAAGGAGGAGGCGGTTGACATCAAGTGAGTCTGGTCTGAGACCTCTGTGGTTCTGTCAGCTGATCTCAAACTCCACTGCTGCAAGAGTGAGCATCTCCTTCCTCCCTAGGCCTCTGTGCTCGGAGGCAGGGAAGAGCTGCAAGAATCCGACTCCACACAATCCACACACAAATGAAGGGGGTGGGGGGAAGGAATCTGACTCAGCTCTAGGAGCACTGACCAGGCAGTGTGGGAGCAAGTCCCAGCGCCGGAGCACAGCTCTCAGACACCACACGCTTGCCCCTCCCATCAAGCTCCATCAGTGCTCAGTCAGGGCTTAGTCCTGCTGGGACAACAAGGGGGAAATAATGCACCAGACAGAATGAGTGATCCGTCTCCATATGTGACTTCCCAGTCACAACGATGACGAATGTCATGGTGGTTAAGGTACTGTGATGAGAATGAAAACACTTTATGGAAGTCCTGTAAGTGCCTGGTACACAAAAGAGGAATATATAGAATAGCACAGGGCTGGAGCGATAGCACAGCGGGTAGGGCGTTCGCCTTACAAGCGGCCAACATGGCCGACCCGAGTTCGATTCCTCCGCCCCTCTCGGAGAGCCCGGCAAGCTACCGAGAGTATTGGATATGCCAGACACAGTAACAACAAAGTCTCCAATGGAGATGTTACTGGGCCCGCTCGAGCAAATCGACGATCAATGGGAGGGCCTTTACCTTTACCTTATACATATATATATATACATATTACATATATGTACACAAAGGAATGTATACAAAAGAGGAAAATAAGTACATATAAGTATATATTTATATCACTATCACCCTGTTCATCGATTTGCTCGAGCAGGCACCAGTAACATCTCCATACGTCCCTGTCACGTGCTAGTGTAGCCCGATGGCTTACTGTGGGCTCTTTCAGGGTCAGGGGAATGAGGATCATCATTGTTACTGTTTTTGGCATATCGAGTACGCCAGGGGTAGCTTGCCAGGCTTTGCCATGCGGACAGAACACTCTCGGTAGGTAGCTTGCTGGGCTCTTAAAGAGGGATGGAGGCTTTGGGGCAGCCTCTAATCACCTTTACAGGAGTTCCCTGTCAGGCATATATGCGGATAGGATACTCTCAGTAGCCTGCCAGGTTCTCTAAGAGTGAGAACTAGAGAATAAGAGGTCACGTGGCTGCAAATGTGGCCTCGCACTTCTGAGAGTTTGGTCTTATAGTCTCTGGATCTTGGCCGTTGATGGGGTTACACAGCAGTTGGTGAGTGTAACTGCCTAGCTACTGGAAGATGGGGCATCTGGGTGGAGGAGGCGCAGTCCTGAACCGAGCAGGCTTGGAGATCTCAGCCTCAGGTCCCGCACACCTGGGTTCCTCTGCCGGTTCCTTCATGCATGAGGCTCGTCCAGATATATTATATAATATAAATATAATAAAGGTAAAGGTAAAGGCCCTCCCGTTGATCGTCGATTTGCTCGAGCGGGCCCAGTAACAGTCTCCATTGGAGACTTTGTTGTTACTGTGTCTGGCATATCGAGATACTCTCGGTAGCTTGCCGGGCTCTCCGAGAGGGGCGGAGGAATCGAACTTGGGACGGCCATGTTGGCCGCTTGTAAGGCGAACGCCCTACCGCTGTGCTATTGCTCCAGCCCATAAATATAATATAATACAAATATATATTTTTATATTCAGCAGAGCCTGGCAAGCTCCCCGTGACGTAGTCGATATGCCAGACACAGTAACAACAAAGTCTCCAATGGAGACGTTACTGGGCCCGCTCGAGCAAATCGACGAACAACGGGAGGGCCTTTACCTTTACCTTTATATTCAGTCATTAACTGAGCACCCACTCTCCCCATGTTATCTTTAATCCCCTAAAGCCCTCCCAAAGGTAATAGAAAAATGAAATTTGAAGAGAAGAGTGAATCACTCTAAATTTCAAATTTAAAGTGGGGTTAGAACCTGGATGGGACTGACCTCACATTCCAGGCTCTGAGGACTTCACTACATGTTCACCTTCAAGTAAACAGTGTCTCCTCACAAAAAGCACACGTACTAGAGTTTTGTTAACTTCTGGAACTTTCCTCTCCACCTTTGCCACAGCAGTAGAGAAGAGCAGGCTGCTCTTGGCTGGTTACCTGCACTTTCGATCTCCTGGTTCCAGGGCTTCCGTGAGTTCTGGTTCCACGCAGACCCTTTTCTAAGTCAGCTTGACTGACCACAGGCCAAGAGTGAACTTTCCAAGGCAGAGCCATTTTCTACATTAAAATTAAAACTGGACTCTTTGATTCTAAAATGGTTCTTACCTTTTTTCTTCAGGGATGTTCTCCAACATCATTTGAAGGAAATCCTGCAATTAAAAAAAAACATTAAAAAAATAAATAAATAAAATTTTTTTTAAAAAAGCATTAAAAAATGCCTATAATAGGACCAGAGAAAGAGTACAGCCAGTAGGATGCTGTGTCACCTGTGACTGACCTGGTTAGATCTCCAGAACCACACAGAGTCTCTTGAGTACCACCAGAAGCACTGCCAGGTATGGCCCAAGCAATGGCAAGAACAACAATAAAACACTTACCATGTTCTTCAAGGAATGAGAACAAACAATACTAAAATCAGTTTGGAAGCATAAACACCACAAATTGCCAACACCATCTTTTTAAAAAAAAGTTGGGATGTATCACATTCCTTTACTTGTAGGGGGTGTGGAGGTGGGGGTGGTGTTTTGGGCCACACATGGTGATGCTCAGGGCTCACTCTGGAAGTGACCAGGGACCATGTGTGGTGCCAGCGAATCAAATTTGAGATGCAGCATACAAAATAAGTATTATCTCTTTTGCTGTACTATCTTTCTGGTCTATAGTCCCTGACTTTAAGCTATATTATAAAGTTGTCACTGTCACTGTCCTCCCGTTGTTCATCGACTTGCTCGAGCGGGCCCAGTAACATCTCCATTGTGACACTGTTACTGTGCTTGGCATATTGAATATGGCATGAGTAGCTTGCCAGGATTTGCCAGGCAGGCGAGATACTCTCTCGGTAGCTTGCCCGGCTCTCCGAGAGGGGCCGAGGAATCGAACCTGGGTTGGCCAGTTTGGCCGTGTGCTCAGAAAATGCCCTACCCGCTGTGCTATCACTCAAAATAACATGGCACTGGCCTAAGGATAGGAGACAAATTAAAGGATTAGAATTGAGACCCCGTGGTAACTATCAGAGGATTTTATGGATCTATATCGTATACAATACATAACAATTAGTCCAAAAGTGGATCAAAGACCTAGAAATTAGACCAGAACCCATAAACACATTGTGTAAAACATAGACTGAACTCTCCAGTATTTGGACCTCAAAAGGGTCTTCTAAGATCTGATTCCTCAAAGAAGAAATATAAATGTTCAAAAGACACATTAAAAAGAGTCTATATCGCCAATCACCAAGGAAATACAAATCTAAACAACAATGAGATACCAGAGATGCACTCATCAGCAGGAACAACCACCAGAGCTGAGGATATGCGACAGAGGGACCCTCCCATATGATCCCCTGAGCACTGCTAGGAGTAATTCCTGAGTGCAGAACCAGGAGTAACCCCTGAGCATCACCAGGTGAGACTCAAAAAGAAGATATAAACAAAAAAAAGGAAAGAAAAAAAGAAAATGCTCCCATCTGACATCTGAGTGCTTCCTAATAATTGCAGTAAGAAGATGGAGAATAAAAAGCCAAAGCTCTTTTAAAATAAAATTTTAATAATTATTTTGTATAACCTTTTAGATTATATATTCATCAACCATAGTTTTTAAGAGCCTGGACTTTTGGGGTGCTCAGGGAGACCAGGGGTGTCTCCTGATCAATTCTTCACCAATGTTGTGATCCAATGTAAATGCCTGGAGACAAAGGGTTCAAGGGGTCAAACTGGGCTCAGCTGCATGCCAAGCACGCACCCCAACTCCCGCATGCTCTCTCCAGCTGCCTATCAATTACAATTTAATCAATATATTTCCAAATATTTCATTGACTTAATGACAATACTTTCAAAATTCAAGTACTGTAATGGTAATTTATTACTAATTTCACTTCATATCTCCTCATAGCCCATATAAACTTATCCCATATTTGTCCAGTAATTTATGCTCAATTATGTGGTGGAAAATTGTATTAACTCAGTGGCAAGGGGGGAATTTAATTGCATGAGGAGCAGGAAATTCAGAGTTAACCTTAATTCTGCCCTTCTGCATTTTCTAGTTACAGTTAGATCTTTCTTTACAGAATTACAGAGCACAAGCTTGAAAGAACTTTCTGTTATGTTGAGGAGTGCCCATAAGCCCCCTCTGCTGTGCAGGAAGTCTCAGCTCCCAGCAGGCAGCCCCGCCTCTTCCTGCACCCCGCCCCCCCCACCACCACCAAGCCTCCCTGCGGCAGGGCTCAGGCTCCACATTGCCAGTCCAGCTGGGATAGCGGGTTGAGGGCATTCCACTAGGTCTCAAAGCCCAACCCTTGAGCATCTCTAAGAAACGGCCTGTATCTCCACAGGCTCTATGAACATTCACCTGCAGTAGCTAGACAGACACTCTTCTTGCCATGAGCTCCAGGAATTCAAAGAGCTTCTTTATCTCACTCAGGCTGACTTCATGCGACTGAATCAACCCGACTGGTCCTCTCCACTCCTTTCATAGATGCAATCTCTTCTGAACTGTTTGTTTTCCCTAGTTCTTTTGGCAAGTTGGCATATACTCTGGGAGTAGACTCATAACAGAAGCCTTATCTCACTCACACTGACAGAATGGCATAAGAAAAATGTCTTCTGTGGGCCACTGAGACAGAGTGTAGAGTTGCATGAGGTTGGCTTTGCTCTCCATCCCGCTTGATCCTTCCAGCATCATCAGGAGCAACCCCTGAGTTTGTCCCAAGAACACACAAAAAGCATCTTTTGTGACTACTTTCCTTACCACTTCTTTTCAATTCTCTTACTCATTTTTAATATTTTGTAGACACGTCTTCCAAACGTTTATTGAAAAAAAGGAGTTTCCTTCAACTCATTCTGGGAGATTGCCATAGCACATCTGAAACAAACATTAGAACCAAAGGCAACAAGCAGAAGCAAACAAAGCATCCTGGGATGAAAGTTTATCTGGGTAGTTGTTATAAGTCCACACTCCAGCTAAAGTACATCACAGGATTGGAGAGATAGTAGAGTGGGTAGGGCATTTGCTTTGTATGAGGCCAACCAGGTTTAATCCCCAGCGCCCCATCCAGTCCTCTGAGCCTGCCAGGAATGATCCCTGAGTTCAGAGCAAGGAGGAAGCCCTGAGCACTGCTGGTTGTGGCTCAAAAACAAAACAAAACAAAAAGAATGCATTACTTGGAACCGGCAAGAGTGGCAGCCGGGGCGGGGGGGGGGGGGGGGGGAGGGATGGGACAGCAAGGCAGGGGCTGGCTGGGGTGGGGTGGGGTGTGAGGATAGACAGCCCAGTGGCAAAGATCCTGCCATTTGACAGTTAATTATGAGAAAGGAAAAAGGGAAAACAGGGTATAAGTGGAACAGAGTCTCCAACACAGGAAAACAATTGCATGGTCACATGTGAAAAAAACAAAACTGGATTCCAATCTCACACAATACGCAGAAGTTAATTCAAAATGAATTAAAGATCTTGAGATTAGAACCAAATCGATAAAATACATTGAGAAAAACTTGGCAGCGCTCTCTATGATATCAACCTCGGCTCTGAATGTAATGATTCGATCCATTGGCAAAGAAGCAAAAGCAAAAACAAACATCACGACAGAAATGTTTCTCCACTGTGAAAGAAGCTACAGCTAACATGGAAAAAAAATTATTGGATGGGAGAAGAGTCACACACCACATATCGAAACAGGGCAAATAGTTAAGCTATATAGAGTACTCATAGAACTCAACGGCCGCGCGGTTCCGGGATCTGGATTCCGCGCGACATCTTATCAAAACTTTTCTTTATGACATCTTATTATCTCATTCCTACTTTGGACAAACTTGCAGGCTTTCGAATGTAGCCTGCCCACAGGGCAGAGTCTGGCAAACTCCCCGTGGCCTACCAAATATGCCAAATACCAGTAACAATGATGGGTCTCATTCTCCTAAAGAGCCGTGAATATAATCTCAGGGCTAGGATGAAAGAGACGTTACTGGGGCCTGCTCGAGGCAATCGACGATTAACAGGATGATGAAATGAAATGAAATGAATAGAACTCAACAATGACAAAAACCAAACAACTCTATCGAAAATCGGCGAGAAGGGGCCAAAGAGATAGTATAGTGGGTAGGGCGTTTGTCTTGCAAACAGCTAATCGGGGTTCGATCCCTGGCATCCCATTTGGTCCCCTGAGTACCACCAGGGGTGATCCCCAAGCTCAGGGCCAGGAGTAACCCCTGAGCATCGCCATGTGTAACCCAAAAGCAAAACTGAAGCAGCTGTGCCATCTCCTGAGCACCAGGCTATCATCTGGCACACTGGCCAGCAAGCAGGAGCATCCTAAGTGTGAGCGCACAGGACAACAGGGCAGGTCCCAGTGAGAAAGCTCACAAGCACCCAAACTCCACTGTGGGTCCCTGCATGAGCTTCACCAATGAATTGTTCAGTGTCATGCAAACCATGGGCACCATGGTGACAACAAAAACAAGGAATTGAAGGGGAGAAAACATCCCTAAACATTTTTGAAATTTCCTTCTCTCCAAATGATAGGAAATTAAGCATTCTGATGAAATGTCACATGCACTAAACCTTCGTTTCATTTTTACTTATTTATTCATTTATGTTTATTCAATCTCCGTGAGATACAGTTACAAAGCTGTTCACAGTCAGGTTTCAGACATACAGTGTTCCAACACCCGCCCCTCCACCTGTGAACATTTCCCACCACCAATGTCCCCAGTGGCCCTCCTGCCACCCTTCCCTCAGCCTGTCTCTATGGCAGGTACTTTCCCTCTCTCTGTCTCTGTCTCTTTCTCTCTCTTTCCTTTTGGGCATTATGGTTTGCAATACAGATACTGAGCGGTTATCATGCACTAAACTAAACCTTGACTATGATGCCCTCTTCTCCTCAGGAAAAACCTTACAGTGAGAGCAGTTTCATCAGGGCTGGAGAAACGATGATGCAAAAATTACGGACAAGTGGGGTTGGGAAGGGAGTCCAGAATTCTGCCGTGAACGCTGCTCACCCCAGGCTGGTCTGCGCACCGTGTGCCAGCATGGGGGTTCAGTCTTGGAGACTCCTGAGAGGCACAGACGGACAGGGCAATGCCAACCATGCAGGGGGCCTCAGGCACCACGTCCACCAGCCCCTCAACCACCAGGGCCCTCACACTGGGCCACAGAA